TGTCTCCGTGGCCTACTCCTCAAGACCTTCACCCGTTTACCACAACATATCACCACTGCAGCATCAACATCAATACGACTCCAATCACCACGGGAAGGACCAAGCGCCGTGTCACCACGACCAACTATCAACGTACCACCACACTTCACATGTCGCCCAGTATCAAAGTCGCCCAGGGAGAAAACCACATCATACTTCCCACGTACTGTTAGTTTCACCTTCACCGCGCCACGAAAATGGCCACAGATACTCTCCAGAGCAATAGCATCCTCGACGGTAGTAGTAAGGACATGGACCTTCCGTAGACGTCCTACCGCCAATTCAAACAGCACAAAGGGAGCCAATCTGAACGGCCCCGAGAAGAGGACACTTTTACCACAACATAACCCATGATGTAGCTGCAACCAGTCGATGAGGCCACGCTCCGTCTTGCTGAGACCCGACAGGTGACTCGGCCACGATACAGAAACCGTCAAGTCGGGCACTGACAGAACCTTCACTAAATGCCTGTTGACATCAATACTCTTAAAGGCCACTTTATTAGCACTGGAGGTATCCTCCTCTCTAGCTCCACGCTCCAACAACCGAGCACGCGATCGTGAAGCGAGTAAATTGCGCATTTGTGACGCACGCCTGTGCCGTAGGGTATCTTTGGCGCGCGCAGCCGCAAGATTTTTAGATCTCAATGCTACTAACTCGTCGTACATGTTACTCGATCTACCCTCATCACGACAACACACTGTTATCCTCACCATCACAGGGGAACAATTCATCGCTCTGAGCTCCTTGAAAGCGGAGCTCGTAGGAAGGCAGTCAACCGCCACCTCAACTGCTTCAAATTCAGCGCTACTCCGAGCAAGTGCCACGAAGTCCCCCAAAGACCCCGCACGTTTCGAAGCGAATAGCCAACATTCACCACCAGGCAGCAATAACCTCTTGATCGTCTCTAAAAGTGCATAATGCGTTTCCCGACTATAAACCACATCAGCACAGATAATAAGGTGGAAAAAGTGCCGGTACCGGGGATCGAACTCGGATCCCCACTGGAGAACCTCGGCGCGGACACTCGTCGTAGCAGGAGGTATCGTCAAATGCCGATTCCTCGTAACGTTCCTTTCCAAGCTTCTCACAACCTAGCAATCCAAATGGTATCACATACGCCACAAAAAGTCACTTGTGCTACAGTCAGCATGCAGCCAGCAAAAAAATGGGAGCCGCAAATCGATCACCAGGGCGTAGCGAGATTGTCAAAAGTGTACAGCGATTGTCCCTTCACCTTGTCATCACCGTCAGTGAGGTAAATATCAAGTCCGTTGGGCATAGCAGCC